AGCCAAAATGGCAAGGACTCAGCCAACAATCAGCTCCAGGAAGATCAAAGAAGGTCTAAAGTTACCTGTAAATACTGTTACAATTAGAAGACGCCTATGTGAAGCCAAGCTATCTGCAAGAAGCCCCCGCAAAGTCCCACTGTTGAAAAAAAAAAGACGTGCTGAAGAGGTTACAATTTGCCAAAGAGTACATTGCCTGGCCTAAAGAGATATGGCGCAACATTTTGTGGACTGATGAAAGTAAGATTGTTCTTTTTGGGTCTAGTGGCCGGAGACAGTTTGTCAGACGACCCCCAAACACTGAATTCAAGCCACAGTACACTGTGAAGACAGTGAAGCATGGTTGTGCAAGCATCATGATATGGGGATATTTCTCATACTACGGTGTTGGGCCTATTTATCGCATACCAGGGATCATGGATCAGTTTGAATACATCAGAATACTTGAAGAGGTCATGCTGCCTTATACTGAAGAGGAAATGCCCTTGAAATGGGTGTTCCAACAAGACAACGACCCCAAACACACCAGTAAACGTGCAACATCTTGGTTCCAGACCAACAAGATTGACGTTATGGAGTGGCCAGCCCAATCCCCGGATCTTAATCCAATAGAAAACTTGTGGGGTGACATCAAAAATGCAGTTTCTGAGGCAAAACCAAGAAATAGAGAAGAACTGTGGAATGTAGTCCAATCATCCTGGGCTGGAATACCTGTTCACAGGTGCCAGAAGTTGGTTGACTCCATGCAACACAGATGTACAGCAGTTCTCAGAAACAGTGCGATACAACTAAAAATTAAGTGATTCAAAGGAAAGCAAAATCTTCAAACATTTTTCAGTTTATATAGTGAATGTTTGAGTTTGTAAAGAATACAAACACTGCTATTTTTTTGAACAGTCTAATATTCACTTTTCTTCAATTTTTTTTAGAGGAACAACACAAATGTGATATATTTTTCTTCATGTTTTGATTTGGAATAGAATGTGTAGTGTTCCCAATGCATTTGTGTGTATGGAAATAAAAGCTATTAGAAGGATTTTGAGCTTTATTCACTTTTTTCAACATACTGCTATTATTTTGAACACAACTGTGTATATATATATATATATGTGTGTGTGTGTGTGTGCGCGCGCATGTATTTATTTATATATATCAGGAAGTTTCAAAAAGTGAGGTCCCGCTGGTTCGCTCCCTCCCTCCAGCCTTTGGCTGAGTTACATGTTTTTTTTCAGGGAACAAGAAGTGCGTACCAATTTTTTGTGGTACCCGATCCCACTTCTGTAGCCTCCTTGGACACATCAGCAGTTGTGCATCAGGAAGCCACAACTGGATACTGTATATAAACAAATGTATTGAATGTATATAAGATGGCGCCGGGGACTCGCAATGGTAAGAAGAACCAGGTGCAGGAAGACTGTGCTGGATCTCAGGCACTGGTACCCGATTTTTAGTATACAGTATTTGTATCTGCTAACTTTTAAATAAATAAAACCAACTGAAGTCCCTCTTTACACAGCTGGGGATTGTACAGATAATTGAAGGATGTTACCAGGTTGCTATATTCCAAGGAAGTGACATTTAAGACCATTAGAGCAGACTGAAATGAAAGTTCATTATCTATTACAATAAATCACATATGGCTTGTGTGGTAATTCTGTATATCAATTTTTCTGCAACTCCTATCAGAAAACGTTTTTAGGTGAGCTAGAATAAAGAACTACCTCTTCGAGTAAAATGGAAATAGCTCTAGGTTATATATAGCTTTTCTTGCACAAGACTTTATTTTGTCGCATGCTTGTGATCCTATGTTGCACTCTGCGACATAAATTCATTATTATCTATTGATAATTATCATTTCTAAATCATTTACAATAAGAGATCAGCGACACTAACCAAAAATCTTATAAAGTAGGCACCAAATTGTGACTAAATACATCACTGTATATGTCCCAAACTTCCAGGACACACAAATATTACACCAACACTATATTGCCTGAAGTATGTGGACAACTGTCTAAAATGCTTGAGTTCAGGTTCAGTGAAGGGTATTGATAATGCTAACGCATACAAAGACATATCAGACAACTTGCCAACTGCATTAAGTCATGGTTCAATGAGCTCGGCTTAGCGGAGGTGCCTGGCACGGAGCCCTGATGGAGTATCCATCACCTCATAAACATTTAGGCTGATTCACACCATAGAAACGCAGTCCAGATGCGTTTCTGCATTCACATTTTTGACACATTCCGCTGCATTTTTGATGATTTCCAGTGCATTTTTTCTTCCACTCATTTTCTTCAATTTAAATATGTGTATGTGCATTCCAATGAGTTTACCACGTTCCAGTACAGTATTGTGCAGGAAAATGCAGCCTATTCTACTTTTTTTTTTGCAACTGCAAGCACCGATGTGAATTATAATATTGGCAACCATGTAACCTACTTTTGGTGTATTTTGGATGCAGAAAAACAAAAGCACAATGTAACGCATATAGAGTGAACTGGCTCTTAAACATAATTACCCACACTGGAAGTTTGAAAACGCAACAGAAGAACTGTTAAATGAAGAAAAGCATCTGACAGCCCAAACTATGCAACAGTTTCCCTTTTCTTTGGTCAAGCTTTTATCACCAACAGTGAATGCAATGGCACACATGTGACCCCCTACAGTTGTATTAAATCAAAAAGCAAACATAAATTATATTGTAGCTTACCAATTTTTAGATGTGGTTGCTACAATAGTTTTTTTAAATTTTATTTTCATCTGATGATCCAGCTATTAAGTTTGTTGTTTTTCAACAGAACAAGCTCTCCTGAAAATGTAGTAGCTACAGTGTTGAGACAAACCATTTACTGCTGACAGGGGTGCTTACAATGATCAGCTTTTATTTATGTAAAACAATTATCCTAAAAGAACAAAAAAAACATTGCTGTAACGGTTTATGCAATTGCAGTGTGAGCTGGAGTTTGTCTTCAATTTGTTAGTGTATATATATCTGCTAGTCCATCTAACACTCCCCTCCCCCAGACCGACAATGCTGCTCTACAAAAGGTGCCCCTGTGCTTCTTCATCCACAGTGGAGGCACAATACAGGAGGTGTGTTACTTGTCAGATCACCAGGTGAAAACAGAACCAAAATGCCTAAAAAAAAGAAAACAAATACCGCCACCACATCCAAGAACTGGTAAGCTGCAATATATTATATGCTTCATTTTGGATTTAACATCACTTCAAGCAATGATTCCCAACATCAATCCTCAAGTACCCTCAACAGGTCATATTTTCAGGATTTCCTTTACCTTGTACAAGTGTTTTAAATCAATGTCAATGGTTTGGTAGTTATGACAGCTATTTTATTGAAGGGAAATTCTTAAAATATGGCAAATTGGGGTACATGGTACTAAACTCCAGTCTGCATTTTTATTGCATCTTTTAAAAAGCAATCCCCTAGTGTAACTGAATCTTTACACATCTTTTCCAGAAAGCAATAAAGCCTGAACCACGTTGGAAAATTACATCCACTGGGCTGGATTTATGTTTCTTCCAGTTCATAAACCACATCCTGTCCTCTTTATCTGTTCTACTGGTCACATGAATGCCCTTAGAACACCTCTGACATCCTTAGGTCAGAGGTGCCTGCAATAGGCGGATATGTTTTGTGAGGCCCCTGGTTTGTCCTGCCTAACCATGTCTTACCTATTTATGGACAGCATATGCAAATATTGGTGTTTCCGGCTTGTAGATGATGGTGCTGAGCGGCTATGTGGGTGGTTAGTTGAGAGTTGTGTTGTCCACCACCCATACCTTTGACTACATTTTCCAAGACTCATGAGAAATGTAGTCCTTTCAGCCATAGCTAAAGTTGGTTGTCAAGAGTTAAAAGTACAGACCAAAAATCCTTCACCAGGCAGCCAGACACTGATGAAAAGATTGGGAGCTTAGAGTCACAGCAACTAAGCCCCGGTTCACACTATAGCTTGCATGTGCTCACGCTGGAATTGTACTGCATCCCTGTGCAATTCACATGTGATCTAGTGCGGTGCAATTTGAGCCTATTTATTTTGAGTTGGCTCAAATTGCACCGCATAGCATCAAAAAACATGCAGGCACCTTTTTTTGAGCTGCACTCCAACCAGATCGCATGGTCGTTTTGTAGCAAGCAATCTGGTACAGGCAAATGTGTCTGCGACCTGCATTTGGAATGTCGTTAACTTTGTATTGACACCCGCAGCAGATCACAAAACACGTGCTGGGATCGCTGCGTTTCCCGCACCGCATATGTGGTAACCTAGGTTTAAAACATCTCTTGCTTTGAGTGCACATTGGGAACAGATGTTTTCAATGGAAATTCATAGTTAACCCTAGAGTTCAGCTTTAAATATAGGCTGTACAGATATGTGCCACTTTCTCACCCATGCCATAAAGAATCACACTTGTGGCCCTGAGGAAGTTCTGCAATTTTTTTACATCTGGTTATTGCTGCTGGGTAGTGTCAGAAGCTGCTGGTTGAAAAGAAACAGAACAAAATAGGTTTTGTCACACTTCCGGCTAAATCTAAAGCCATAAGCTGTGACTGCCAGCAGGGGCACCAGAGAGCCAATCAATATTTATTCTCTACTAAAGACTGAGATATAGAGTGAATTGTAGTAAAGTGCAAGTGGTAAGTGTTTGGTTATTCATCCTGAATATATCGTTCCAGAGTAATCACATCTATTTACAGCCTAGTAGAGGAAAAATGTAAGTACTATATTTTTTTTTTAGTAGTGTGCACTGGATATGTTATCATCCAGTTCTACTTCAGTATACACACGGCCCATAGTATAGCCTGTAATTATAAAGGTTTGGCTGCACACATTGTGTAAACATCAAAGTTAGTTTGTCCTGGAGTCTCACTTCTCCAGTGAAACAGGTTAGAACACTTTAGCTGTAAGCGAGAGGTGCAGTGACTGCTTGTGAAGACACCTTGTGAAGCCCTTGGTCTGAAAAAGATGGTCACAAAGTCATCGGTAGTGCCGCAGGTACACCAGCTTCTGTGGATTGAATTTTTCTCGGCACAGTGGGCATTCAGCCTGAAATTGAGATTTTACACATAAAACATTAAAACCATAATAACCAACAGCACATTTTGTGTTCAGCTTAAAGTGAACTTCTCTTAATTGGTCTGAAAAATAAGACTAATGCAGCCATCACATCTAAAGACTGGTAAGTTGCAATATATTACATTTTTCTTCTTAAATTTAAAATACACTTTAAAGCAGAACTTTACCCATAACAACTTGATAAAAAAATTATGTTCTTTGGCAAGGAACATACATTCCACATTAATAATTATGCTACCAAAATTAGTGTCTGCAGTAAAGTGCCTCCAGTATCATTGCTGTTTTTTTTTAGCCCAGAGCAATCATTAGGCCGTCAGCAGATTGGTTTCCAGTGGCTGTGATTTTAGGCACAGTGTGGAAAAATAGGGCAACTGAGCATGTGCAGATCAGGGTGAGACCATGTATTCCTGAATTTTAAACAGTACAGGCACTTATTTTTAATGTTTTACAGCTTTACCTGCAAAAGCCACCAGCCTGAAGTGATCCAGCAGAACTTGATTTGCTGACTAAAGGTCCTCTTCTAAGCTTTTTTGTTTACATGTATTTTGTTATATGCACAATACGATTTGCTACACTTTCCAATCATTGGCCCTTTAAAAGTCCGTAACACTGGAGGCATTACATAAGCTTCCCAGTCATGTGATCAATGTAATCAGAATGTTCACATGATTGTGAGCCTGCCCCACGGTCTCTTGATAGTAAACAATGACCAGGAGCTTGTCAACGACAGTGAGGTCACAGTGCTGGGGATGTCAAGTGAGCAAGCTCCCAACACAGAATAGCAATGCCAACTGCATGTGTGCCACGTAGGTGTTGAGGTCCACTGCTACGCTGTCACATATACAGTGCCTTGAAAAAGTATTCATACCCCTATAAATTTTCCACATTTTGTCATGTTAGAACCAAAAACGTAAATGTATTTTATTGGGATTTTATGTGATAGACCAACACAAAGTGGAACATAATTGTGAAGTGGAAGGAAAATGATTTTCAACATTTTTTACAAATATGTGAAACGTGTGGTGTGCATTTGTATTCAGCACCCCGAGTCAGTACTTTATAGAACCACCTTTTGCTGCAATTACAGCTGCAAGTCTTTTTGGGGATGTCTCTACCAGCTTTGCACATCTAGAGGGGGATATTTTTGCCCATTCTTCTTTGCAGAATAGCTCAAGCTCTGTCAGATTGGATGGAGAGCGTCTGTGAACAGAAATTTTGAAGTCTTGCGACAGATTCTCAACTGGATTTAGGTCTGGACTTTGACTGGGACATTCTAACACAAGAATATGCTTTTATCCTAACCATTCCATTGTAGCTCTGGCTGTATGTTTAGGGTCGTTGTCCTGCTGGAAGGTGAACCGCAGCCTCAAGCTCAAGTCTTTGGTAGACTCCCAATAGTTTTCTTCTAAGATTGCCCTGTATTTGGGCTGCATCCATCCAACTCTGACCAGCTTCCCTGACCCTGCTGAAGAAAAGCATTCCCACAACATGATGCTGCCACCACCATGTTTCACGGTGGGGATGGTGTGTTCAGGATGATGTGCAGTGTTATTTTTCCACCACACATATTTTGCTTTTAGGCCAAAAAGTTTAATTTTGGTCTCACCTGACCAGAGCACCTTCTTCCACATGTTTGCTGTGTCCCCACATGGATTCTTGCAAACTGCAAACGGGACTTCTTATGGTTTCTTTCAACAATGGCTTTCTTCTTCCCACTCTTCCATAAAGGCAAGATTTCTGGAGTGCACGACTAATAGTTGTCCTGTGGACAGATTCTCTCACCTGAGCTGTGGATCTCTGCAGCTCCTCCAGTGTTACCATGGGCCTCTTGGCTGCTTCTCTGATTAATGCCCTCCTTGCCTAGCCTGTCAGTTTAGGTGGACGGCCATGTCTTGGTAGGTTTGCAGTTGTGCCATACTCTTTCCATTTTCAGATGATGGATTGAACAGTGCTTTGTGAGATGTTCAAAGTTTGGGATATTTTTCAACAACTTTATCCCCTGACCTGTCTTGTGTGTTCCTTGGCCTCCAAGATGCTGTTTGTTCACTAATGTTCTGAAACCTCTGAGGGCTTCACAGAACAGCTGTATTGGTACCGAGATTAAACTACACACAGGTGGACTCTATTTACTAATTAGGTGACTTCTGAAGGCGATTGGTTCCACTAGATTTAGTTAGGGGTATTAGAGCAAAGGAGGCTGAATACAAATGCTTGCCACACTTTACAGATATTTATTTGTACAAAAAAAATTTCAGAACCGTTTATCATTTTTCTTCCACTTCACAAGTATGTGCCACTTTGTGTTGTTGTCTATCACATAAAATCCCAATAAAATAAATTTACGTTTTTGGTTGTAACATGAAAAAATATGGAAAATTTAAAGGGGTACAAATACTTTTTCAAGGCACTGTATTGTGTACGGTGGACAAGAAGGGGTTAACATAGAAGCTGATGCAAACAATAGTTGAGGTGTGGTCCATAGCAGCCAAACATTTCTGCATCATTCTTTCTATGGCAGGCTAGAAACATTATGTAGAAAACACAAAGGGCCCTCACCTTGGTGTTACACCATTCAGTGATGCATTCCCAGCAGAAGAGGTGGCCACATGGTGTGGCTGTGGTATGTTTCCGGTGCTCTAAACACAATGTGCACTTAGAGGGTCGCTGGTAGTTTTTTCTCATGTGGCGGTGCCCTACAAACACAGAACAGAAGATATTTACAGTATTCCATAGCTTGGTTATGGAATGACTGTGGTAATCACTATCTGTATCTAAACTGAAGACATTACCACAGAGCAATTTCTGAGAAACAGACTTCTATCCCATCCTGCCATAGCTGAACCAGGGGTCAGGGAAAGTCAGTTATAATAGTGCAAGATAAAAGTAGTGACATAAAATATCAGTTTATAAACTTGTAAATAATATTATGATGCTTTATTTTAATAAAAATGACCAGAAAAACATTACAGTCTACTTTTAGGCTGCAGAATATTTTTGGTAGTAAATGAGAAAACAGTGGAATTTTAATAAAAAATCTGGATGATTTTTTTCCAAGGGCTGGACTGCCATCACTGGAGCTTGTAAGTACAG